TTTTGACTGGTAGTGTATGTATGTAGCCTATGTATCACACTCATATCACATCTAGTTGTTTTGGATAAGAATAAAACGTCAGGTCCGACAATATCGTGTCTTTTTTTATTTAAATCTAGCTTTATTCGCATTGGCCCATGGAAACCTCTATGAACACTCTTGACTTGACTTGGCAAAAAAATCGCGGGGGGCGAATTTGCGTTTTATTAAAAAGTGTTTACGCATACACTCATGGCGCGCAGCCGCGCACACACATTAGGATAGGTTAGATTCCTGCCTCCGTTGCGAGTCCCTATCAAGCACTTTACCAATTCAACTACTCTCTTCTTCTCCTCCTGCCTTGCTCTTTGGCCCGCTTCACTCACCGCAGAGCAAGCCTGTTCTTGATAGATCTCATGTGAAAACGTGGGAAAAGCCGACGAGGAAGAAGTTGGGGTGAAGCGATCTTTATATAGGCGGAGCAAAATACTTAATCTCTCCGTCTACAGCGCATTGTGATTGGATGTTTACGCTGTCAATACAGGAGACAAACCAATGGGCCACTGGCTGCTCGCTGTCCCTGCGGGATGGTTTTCGGCAAAAAAAAACAAAAAAACATTCTGTCGGCCCCTTAAGTGCGTCGGCCCACCGGGAAAATGCCCGGTATGCCCGATTACCAATCCAGCTGGATTTTTTATTTTTTTTGCAAACAAGAAATCTATTTCTTAGAATCTACGTTTTTCATACATGGCAGCAAGTCATTCAACATCTCCGCTCCTCTCATTTGCAGTTGTCTGTCTGTACGGCACAGCGCAGTTATCATTTCTTTATTTGTACTAAGTACAGTTACGAACGATTTAATCTAATAATTCATTTGAATGTATGTTATTACGTCTAGCAAATTAAACAGAATTGAACAATAATTATAACGAAATGAAACAGCTCAATGAAATATAAAGATCCTAAAATGCTGGGTTGTTTCAACCCAACTTTGGGTCAAATATGGACTAACCCAACTTTTGGGCTAAAAATTTAACGTAAAAATTTAACCCAACAGTTGGGTTAGTCCATATTTGACCCAAAGTTTGTTTTTTTTAGAGTGTATAGTCACACTAACACACTAATGTTTTCATCTTTACACTATATAAAATCACACTGTATGGTACAAAAAGTGTTGGTCTAACATGGTAACTGTAAGTTTCGGTGTAACTGCGTTGTCCAGCAGTAGACTGCATGAGGCTGACTCCTTACAAAACACTTCACAACATTCCGTAATTCTGATTTATTAGTACACTCTAAAACATGCTGGGTTAAATACAACCCAGTGCTGGGTAAAATAGGGACAAACCCAGCAATT